TCGGACTGCCTAAGAGCATAAATATTGGGTACTTGGATGTATGTAGGAAAATACACACCAAACAAACACGGCTGTGGCTCGAGCTCTTGCGGCACATGCAAACAGCTCTGTATGCTCTACCCACTCATATTTTCGAAACACGCAGACCAAGCCTCCACAGAAAGAGACATTTGATAGTGTGCTTCGTTAGTCTTCTTGCTTTGGAGAGTATGGAAAGAAAAGCTCCAGAAGCTCTACAAGCTCCTGTTTCTGTTGGAGATCCAGGTGTGGTGATGTGTGCTGGAAAGTCCCATTTCGCTGCAGTGGATGGTCAGAGCAGGTGAGACTGACCTACAGCCACCCCAGCTGTCCTTGGAGGCAACGCCGGATTTGGATCCATCGGATTGGGAGTTTTGGCAACAAAGCATCCACAGCATCCGTGGACTTTGCGAAAAAGACTTTAGGGAACCTACTGCAATAGCGATGGCCTCCAACCTACTAGCGATGTCTAGCGATGACCTCCACCCTAATAGTGAGTTTTGGGTTATTTTAGACTTTGCAGAATCTTCTACGCCTGTAGGATCGGGCCTTTCTCGATGAGCTTCTGACTCAGCGATGTGGAAAGGAGGTGTTTTGGGCTTTGGGCAAAAGTGATCCCGTAGCTGAAGACTGTTTGAAAAAGACTTTCCTTCTCCTATATGGGCAAGCTGACCTGCACATTAAGCCAAAAGCTGAAGAGTTGAAGGAAACAGTTCTTGCCACCAACTTGGGTGTAGTTCGAAGAAACAGAAAGGTCAAGGCCAAAGCCCAAAGCCTCTCAGTGATTTTGCAGAACTCTTGATGTGTCATCCTAGGTTTGGCCGGCGCATCTCTGTCGCCGCCGGCTCAGCTGCCTTACTTGGTGGAATTGGTTTCTATGGCCTTGCCAGGCCGCCGGGGAAAGTGAGTTGAGACGGTGAAGTCTAACTCTTTTGGACAGCCTTCGGTTGTGCAGGCAGATGGCTTTTAAGAGAAGAGGCCTTTGGACAACCTTCGGTGTCACCGTGTGCCTGAGATGCAACATCGTGGTAGGGTTCTTCTTTTTCTTCGTTCGCACCATGTGATTCAACTTGTGTTGCATTTGCCAAAGAAGCCACGCAAATGCCTGTGAAGAGGACTTATTTCACCAATGATAGAAACCAGTCCTGCTAATGAGGTGCCCATTCATTGCTTGGTACATCGTGATCAACAAGGATTCAGAGCAAAGACTGATCAACATGAGATGATACAGGCTCTTTCCTCGTGTCTACAAGATGGTTGCCATTGGTGTGAGGAACGAGAGCGAGTCATGGATTTGGCCAGAAAGCTCCAGGCATTGATGGCTGACGGTGGGGTTATTTTGTGCGTAGGTTCTGTATGCTGTCCTTTTGTTCACCAAGCGTTTGGGCTGCTAGAATCCCAGAATCCTGAGTTGTTAACCCACTGTTTGCAGTCTGGACATGTCTTTGGAGGGTTTGGACTCCTTGGCCTTACCTCACAATGACACTTTATATATATATATTTATAACCTTCTCCACGTTTCAACATGTTTGTAGAACTTTGCACTGAGGAGTGCCTCCGGATAGGTCGTATGTGCCTAAAGTTTCAGAAACTTCTGTTGGTCTTGCGACATTGTTTCCGGATAATAAAGATTTGGACAGATAGTTTCTTTGAGAATTCGCTGTGCCTCTGCATCTTTGCACCTCCTTTGCACCTCTCAGTTCGATGGCGGGCCTGGTTTGCCGTCGGTGGCCTCGGTGTCAAATAAATATCCTACAGTAGCCACCGTGGCTTACCAATTTCCACCAGATGCTTCTGACTCATCTGACCTTGCAACTTATTTAGGGCGCAGTGGATTCTACATGATTACAAAGACCTTGGACTGTAGAGAACCCGGGAGGGTTCTTCCAGAAAGGACAGGAGTCCTGCAGCCGGGACATGTTAATCCATTGTAGTGTGCTTGAACACAAAGAGATGTATTCTATAATATAGCCGGCAGGCGAGCTCCAAGTGTTCTGCAGTGAAGTGTCCATAGACTCAAGCAATTCTTCCGCATGTCCAAGTGCAAGGTCTCCACATACCTCACAGATGTCTGGTGATGAGGTACGGGATGGCGAACAAATAGGGTAAACAGCACTGGTTGCCAAAGCCTAGTGTGTGAACGATTTCCTCGTCCTCGAGGCGTTAGCAAAGCTCTTTCCACCTGCACCCACACTGGGTGCGGGTGCTGGTGCACCAGCCGTCTGAAGCTCAGAACTTGTTCAATCAGCCCTCAGAAGGAAAACCTCAGAGGACAGGACACCCTCTGTAAACTCTGGATTCATGGATGCAGGATTCCAAGACGTCAACACTTTTCTTGCTGTGCCCATTGTTGCAGCAAGTGGAAAAGGAATGAAGACACCAGCACGAACTGGTTGTGTTTAGTTTCAGGTGCCAAACAGAGGATTCGGATGGCCGCTGTCCCAAAGATGTGCAGCACAATGACGGCCGCATGTCGGTGTCAGTTGATCTTGACGCACCTGCTTGCTTTTCAATGATTTCAATGGGTCAGAGACTGCACACAATGCTCCAATGCTGAAGTGTGAGAGAGAGGGAGAGGGAGAGTCAAAGGGAGGTGTTTTGATTTTGTTCTGATAGTCTCAGGGGTGCCATGGGGCCTCAAGGACACCGCGGCATGGGATTCGTGCTTGTGTGTGAGTGTGTGAGCTGTTGTCCTATGACAGGAACGACTGGAAAGCGTTTGGTTTTCTTAAACCGCAATATAGTTGCCAACCGTTGAACGATGCTGGAACTCTAGAATTATTGTTGGCAGGATTCCCCCAGCGTCCTGATGGAGCTTGGACCTGGCCAAAGTGAGCCGAAGGCAAGCATGTTTGGAGCAAACGATGGATGAAGAGACGTGTCCTATTTGAGAAAGAGGTGGCGCATCGGGCCGGAACAGTTTTGGCTTTGCTCAGCTAAGAGCCAAAGATCGAAAAGAAGACCGCGACAAGCGTCGTGAAGGTCTTCGGACACTGTTTGCCATGTCTTCTTTCCTTCGCGAAGGAATGTACATAAGGAGAACCATGGATAGTCAAAGAAAGCGCAAGGGAAAAGGCGAATGCTGAAAGCTTTGCGGTGAATGATTGTTTGGCTGCTGTTGCTGACTGAAGTTTGCCCGGTTTGGCAGCTTCAGCAGCTCTGTATTTGTCCGCCTCCTGCAATAACTTGTGTAACTTGCACAAGGACTCCTTCTGAAGCTAATACACTTCAGCAAGAACGTTGAGTCATGGGTGGGGGTGCATAATGCCCCATTGAGATTCATTGAGACTTCAGGCTTGCAGAACATTCAGAATATCAGAATATGAATGAAAGTCAATGAACATTTTGACTGCTCATGTGTGGTTTCAGCTTGACACCTAAACTGATGCAAGTGTCGGAGGGTGGACAGCATGGTTCGATGTTAGCAATCTGAAACTGCCTGGTCACTCCACAGCGAAGAACAATCTACGGACCACCTTGCCCCCGCCGCTTCCTTCAAGCACAGGGGGGACGCTGGGCAAAGGAGGGCAAGCAGGCCGATCAGAAAAATGCGGTCGGGTGATGTGCTTTAAAATTTACTCACATCTACGAAAAAGACACCTTTCAAACTACCCAATGGACAAAAGAATTGTAATTAGTTGCCTACTTTTGGGCACCACTTTGTTGATGCCCTTATTTCTGAATTTCTAAACTGCTCAGGCAAAGCCACTGCCCTTTGCGTCCATGTCCTTAGCAAGGCCAAGGCACTGGATTGTGTAAGAGCTGGTCATGCAAGCTCCCTGATTTTGGCTTTGTGAAAGCTGACGTTCAGGCTGAAGTCAGTGCATTAGCAAGATTGGTGGACAGTAACAGTTGCAGCTTGCAGTGGGCATTCATTCTGTTGGTTTCTTCGCCTTGGCACTTTGTTCAGGGATGCAATCCCGGATTCTGCCCGATGGTCTGTGTCCCTTGTTGAGGCATCAAAGTCTGGAGACTCAGCAACTTCATGTGCTAGTGGAAATTGATGTTTCAGATATCCTAAGAATCAGCACTTATGGGGATTCCCCTTTCACCGACTAGATGCTCACCAGCAGATTAGATTCAACACAACACCATCAACACCATAAACCTCTATGAGGGGTACCGTAGGCCAGAAGGAGGGAATCCTTTGTGGCCTTCACCAAGATTGGGACCTGACCATTTACATCCGTTTACCCAGTAATTAGTGTGTAGACCACAAGCTTTACAGGCTTGTAAAGACATGCGTGACCGCTGGGGAGTCAGTACGCTTTGAGACCAAGGGCCCAAGCAAAGAGGAGGGAAGAAGAGGAGCGCTTCAAGAGGTCAAGATCTCAGATGAAGATGGCACACGATAACGAACAGTTGTTCTGCCCCTTGCTCATGACAGTGAGGTGGAACGCTGGGAATCTCAATAGTACCAACTTCTTCAGGCCGCACTTCCTTGGTAAAGCTTGTCCCCTTGCTTTAGTACTTTTAAGCCTGCGAGGAAAATGGGCCAAAGTATGGCAGACACAGAAAGGTACAAAGCCCAATGCAGGGGTCTTAGCAAGCTTGACAACTCAAGCACCTCACAGTGTCACAAAACACATCAGCTGAAATAGGAGAGAGCTTCGCTGGCCGACTTCGCCACAGCCGTGTCAGCGCAAAGCTTACAGGCCGTGCCGCTGCTTTGGCCTCACCGAGCCGCAATGCGGAAGAGAAGGTGAGCCTCGAGTGTACTACCAGGCCTTCAACTTGGATGTGAACTATGTGAACATGCAGTGCATGGAGATTACTTACACAAATCCAACTCCAAATCCCTTCCCCTGCGTTTGCAAGGCATGTCGATATTGCCAAGGCAACATGGAGGGAGGGAGTATGCAGAGACACTTGTGTGAATCCAGATGGTACAGCTGGAACTTCTTGACTGTGACAGGTGGCAAGTGTCAGTCTTTCCAGCTTTTCTGCCGCCCTTTTCCGCTTCACTGCTTTGACTGTTTGTCATGCAGGCTTTTGCCGACTTTAGCAATGTGTGCATCCTTCCAAATCAAGAGAAGGGAGAGATGCACTTGAATGCATTGGGTCAGAAGCCAAGAGCACAAGAGCTGTGCCGACTGACAACGCCCGAAGCGCTTGGCGACAGGAACCATCGACGCGCCCAGGGGCCTCATGCATCTGAAGGTGCATTGAAGTCTGCGACCCGGTGAGCACATCCAATCTGTTCGATGTAGGACCCCAGCGCTGTCGAGATGCGGCAACAAATGGAGCAGGCACGGAACATGAGAACATGAAGCAGGGCAGGGCTTTGAGAACGAGGGCACGAGTGTAGAAGAAGAGTTGAGTAGCTACAGTAAGCCATTGTAAGTGCTTGTTCAATCAAGGACTCAACAAGAGTATTGACAATGGGGGGAGCGCACAGGTGGTGCCACCATGAAGCCGAACTTGGTTTGCAGATGAAGCCGCACTTTGCCCCAGGCAGCCACAAAAGTGCAAGCGCTGGAGCGTGGCCGAAAGGCCCGGAAGCAGGTGGGGGTTGCAAGGACCTTCCGACCAAACCCGAGCTGGTCATGGTTCATGTTTTGGTATTAAAAAGGACATTTTTTTCCCGAATGCGTAGCGAAGGGTTCCCGTTTATAGTTGGGGGTCTGGGGGTTGGAGCTGTGTTTGCATGGCTTGCGTCGTGTCGTCGTTTGTCGTCGTTTGTCGTCGTCTGTCGTCGTCGTCGCGTCTCAAATTTGCTGCCATTGGGGGAAGCTTTTGCAAGTAACTTTTCATGGATGTGTCACGTGTCAGTTTGCGCCGCTATTCCATTGGGATTTGCATGACAAGGACATGTCGCGCAAGAAACGTGATGCATTTCACTGCACAGGCGCAGCGTTTTGTGAGATCTGCAGTTTGCTGCGCAGTTCCATTGGGATTAGCGTTTGGAGAGTCGTGTTTTTGGGGTGTTGGATGTGGCCGTGCCATTGGGATTTGCGTTTCAGGGTGTGGCAGCGAAGCTCGGTTTTCGTGACAAGTCTCAGCTGAAATGGCGATTTTGGTGGATGGCAGTGTGCTCAGAACGGGTCGAAATCATTCCAAACGTGTGGTGTGGTGCAAATTTTGTTGAAGCTCACATGAGATGATATTGTCACTTTTCGTGGCAGGCGCAGGACTTTGTGCGGGTTTTGAGGCGTGGAAGTGCGATTCTCGTGGCAGGCGCAGGGAATCGTGAGGCTGCGAGGTGTGAGGGAGGTGACATTTCGTGGCAGGTGCAGTACTTTGTGCGCGTTAGACGTGTGGATGGGGAAAGATTCGTGGCGGGCGCAAGGAATCGTGAGGTTGTGAGTTGTGGTAGAGGTGAATGTCGCTGTCACATTGGGATTGGCATGTGAGCGGATGTTGTTTGGAGGGGCTGGAATCGCGAAACTGCTTGGCAGGGCTGCGTGATGCGTGTGCTCCGATGGGTGTTTCCGCTTGACTTTTGGAGGAAGTCTCGTACGAAACGCTCGTTTTGCAGACTTTGACGTGAGTTTTTGAGGAAGTCTCGTACGAAACGCTCGCTTTGGAGACTTGACGCGCAACCCTCTGCAGAGATCACGCGTGTCGAGTGTGCGAAATGCAGGCGAGAGCGCGATTTGTCCCATGCGCGGGCAACCCTCTGCGGAGATCGTGCACGTCGAGTGCGCGAAATGCAGGCGAGAGTGCGATTTGTCCGGTGCCCGCGCAACCCTCTGCGGAGATAGTGCGTGTCGAGTGCGCGAAATGCAGGCGAGAGTGCGATTTGTCCGGTGCCCGCGCAACCCTCTGCGGAGATCCTGCGTGTCGAGCGCGCGAAGTGCAGGCGAGCACTGGCGACTTTGTAGTACGACTTTAGTACGCGGGGTATCTGGCGAGCTGGAAGATGAGAACTGGTGACTTGGTAGTACAACTTTAGTACGCGGAGCAATCTGTGGAGCTGGAAGCTGAGAACTGGCGACTTTGTGGTACAACTTTAGTACGCGGAGCAATCTGTGGAGCTGGAAGCTGAGAACTGGCGACTTTGTAGTAGAGTGTCCCACAAGAGTGTTCCACAAGAGTGTCCCACAAGACTGTCCCACAAGAGTATCCTACAAGAGTGTCCCACAAGAGTGTCCCACGACCCACAAGAGTGTCCCACAAGAGTGTCCTACAAGAGTGTCGTGTAAGAGTGTCCCACAAGAGTGTCCTGCAAGTGACCCACAAGAGTGTCCTACAAGAGTGTCCCACAAGAGTGTCCTACAAGACTGTCCCACAACAGTGTCCCACTAGAGTGTCCCACAAGAGTGTCCCACAAGAGTGTCCTACAAGTCCTACAAGAGTGTCCCACAGAGTGTCCCACAAGAGTGTCCTACAAGAGTGCCCCACAAGAGTTTCCTACAAGAGTGACCCACAAGAGTGTCCCACAAGAGTGACCCACAAGAGTGTCCTACAAGAGTGTCCCACAGAGTGTCCCACAAGAGTGACCCACAAGAGTGTCCTACAAGAGTGTCCCACAGAGTGTCCCACAGAGTGTCCCACAAGAGTGTCCTACAAGAGTGTCC